TTGGGTGGGCCTCCACGTTATGAGAGAGCTGCATTCCGAGGCTTCTGCAGCTGATGTCCAAGTGGTTAGGAGCCATCTCCAGCTGGAAACAGAACTTGAAAGTGTTGTTCAGGTGTTTCTTGTTTTGAAGACAAAAACTTTGCAAGATGAAAGGGGCCATGGCTTTTTCCTCTGCACTTTCAGAGAACTAAGGAGATCAGGCAATGTGCGGCAGGTCTAGAGTTCCTTCAAGGGATCCCCGAAAAGCCGTTGCATGAGGCTGTCATAGTGAAGCCTGGGTTGTGGCTGAGATCCCATGATATTTGAGATACCAAAGTCAGGAAATATCTGAAGGAGAATTGCATACAGGAAATGGAATAAGAAATCAGCCTAAAGGGAAAAGTGTATGTGTAGGCAGCAAAGCTGTATGATCAGTTCCATCTAAACCCATTGAAGCTGAGGCTTCGGTTGCTGTACGTGGACCTACAGAATTTGGTTCATCCATGATGGCTTTAAGTTTGGCTTTGGTCTAATATTTCCTTGCTATGCCCATATTCCTCCATTTTGAATAGCAATATGTACTCTATTCAGTGTTCAAAGTGTGTGCTTTGTCATTTCTACAGCTGTCATAGTTAAGAGATGGCATTGGGTCTCGGAAGAGACTCTGGATATTGGAAGAGCGCCTGGACTGGTAAAGACTATGAGGGCCTTTGAAGTTGGATTAAATGCATTCTCATCATGAGATGACCATGAGCTCAAGGAGGCCATAGGGAGAATGTTGTGGTTTGAATATCCCCCAGAGGCTCACAAATCTGAACATGGCGTCACAAGTAGATGGCTTTGGTGGGGGTGGACTCTGGAAGCATTGGGAGGGACAGCCTTGATGGGGGAAGAAGTCACTGACTTCTGAGGGTTTTTAAGCTCACTCCATTTCCTGTTCTCTCCCACTACTTCCTGTGAAATGTGATCAGCTGGCTCCCTGCTCCAGGCGTCATGCTTTTCTTGACTGTTGTCAGGTTTTCCTCACTGTGATAGGCTTTATCTCCAATCCCAGAACTAGAAACCAGAATAAATCCCTTTCTCCTTTAAGTTGATTTTGGTCATGATATTTTATCACAGCAACAGAAAAGAAATTAGTAGAAATATTACATTAAATTAAAAAAAGGGAGAATACATACAGTCATCCCCTTCCTGATATTAAAGGAAATATTCTCAACTTTTCCCCATCCAGTATAATGTTGGTGTGAGTTTGCCACATATAATCCTTGTTACGTGGAAGCCGGATCCTTCTATTCCGGCTTTCTTCAGGGTTTTAGCATAGTGGATATTAAGTTTTCTCAAAGTCATTTTCTGCATCTATTGTCATGACCATGAAAAGCTTTTCTCTTCATTATATTTATGGACTGCACTGCACAGATGCTGAGCCACTCTTGCACACATGGAATGAAATAAACTTGGTCATCACATATTGACTTTTGAATGTGTTATTGAATTCAGTTTGCAAGGATTTTATTCAGAATTTTTGTTTATGTTCATCAAGGAAATTGGTATATAGTTTTCTTTTATTGCTAAATTTTTTCTAATTTTGCATTGGTCTAATAACTACTTTGGATAATTAATTTGGAAATGTTCTTTTTCTTATTTTATGAAATAGTGTGAGGATCTCTAAATACCTGGAAGAAAGTTTTGGTAAATTTCGCCCATATTGGGTTTTTCTTTGTTGATTATTCCTTCAGTCTCGTTGCTCACTGTAGATCTACATCATCTCAATCCAGTATTTAGAGGTCAAATGTGTCTAAGAATATATCCATTCCTACTACAATACATGGTTTATGTCAGTATCATTTCCCAGGTATTCTGCAGTGGCTCTTCTGGATCTCAGAAGTTTCTAATGTAATATTCCCTCGTTCATCTCCAATATTATTGCCTTTGTTTTACTTTCTTTTACTTCATTTTTTGGCTAATGTGACTATGAATTTGTCCATCATGATTATCTTTTCAAAGAAACAATTCTGTTTCATTGATACTTTGCACTGTTTGTTGGTTTAAATTTCATTACTTGCAACTCTATTTACTGTTTTATTTCTTTGTTACTAATTTAACATTTGGATTGTTGGCATTACCTTTTTAGTATGTTAACTTGTGTCATTAGCTTACTTGCGGTCTTACTTTTTTATTGTAAGAGCTGATAGCTATAATGTCCTTACAGTGCCCATTGCTATATCTATGGGTTACAGCAATTATGCAAGTTTCATTTGCTTCTATGAAGTTTTAATCCCTTCCCCAATTTCTTCAGTAACATACTGATTTTTCAAGAGCAATTTTCATATTTTTCAGTATATTCATGAGTTTGTTCCTTTTCTCTTGTGGTTAATTCTATTTTTATTTTATTGTAATCTGGTAAATTTTATTCTATTGTAATCTGATAAAATACAAAAAATATTTCAACAAATGTTTGTTTAAACTTACTTTGCGTACTTTAGAGCCTTGGGTTGCAATAGTACATGAAGTCCTTACAATCACTGGCTCTATGTTACAATTACTCTAAAGTTTCTGTGTTCATTTTTGTCTTGGATATTATCAACTCACACTAGGGTACAGGTAACATACATTAGCAGTGAATCTTAACATCTCCCTCTCTCTTTATGCCCAATAGTGTTTGTTTCATGAAACTGAATCCACCAAATGATGAATATATATTTACAATCATGACATCGTTCTTCTACAATTTTTTGAGGTTTTCATACATGAGAACTCTTTTTATATCATGTCTACCCCAATCTTTCCCCTTTCAACTCTTCCTGCATTCCCCCACTCCCTCTCAAGCTTACTACCACTTCTTTGATTGTTAGTGTTACATACATATGTAAATATACATGCACATATATATGTAAACACAAACTGCTAGTGTTGCTTATGTGTATGTGTATTTAGGGCTGGATAACCTATCTTGGGCTCATTCCTGGCAAAAGACTCGCTCTCTCTCAGCAGCTATTAATTGCTTATAACTCTTCATCTATGAATGGGGCCTTATGAGATTTCCCTATCCATATTGTAATGTCAACCTATGTTGCTATTAAGGTCTTGTTTAAGCAACTATATTGCTATGATCTCATGGGTGCAGCTCTCTGTTATATACTGAATAATCTGTCTCTCAGAAAGTATCCTGACCATTTGTTCTTACACGCCTCCCATCACCTTCATTACATCTTCTTGATTGGTTGCTACCTTTATTACTATGTAGTAACATGCTTCATCACTCATGACTAATTTGTGTTTAGAGTCCACTTGGTTGGGTAGGAATATAGCTACTGCTGCTTGGTTTTAGAGCATTATTTTGCTTATGTTCACTTAGCAAATAATTTCCCATCCTTTCCCTTTAAGTTTGTATGTGTCTTTTCCAGTGCAATTTGATTTTAAAGACAACAAACAGTTGGTTCTTATCCTTAGTCCAATAAACTACCATGACCTTTAATTATAAAATTAAGGACATTTGTGTCTACTAATATTGTTGAAAGGTTGTGCTAATTCCAACATTATTTTCCTGGTTATTTGAGAACTTGATCTTTTTTTCCCACCCTTATTCATTGTAGCAATTTGCTGTGTTATTGAGTTGAAATTTTGATTCTTCCCTGACTCTCATTTTTACCATTCATAAATCTCATAAAATTTATCCCTTCCCAGAATTCCGTGATTATCACCATCTGTATCCATCATCTGTGCATAGGATGCTTTTAAGAATCTTCTACCATGCTATCAAACCGGTCATGAACTGTTTTAGCTGGTGACGGCCCTGAACGTGTCTCTACAGCTCTAAGAGTATAGAAAAATATCCAATTCACAGTCATTTGTCTGGTTGACCTTGACTCTATTTGGGCCTCCTATGTTTATACAGCAGAGAAGCTATGTATGTGTAGGTGTGTTTGTGTAGATACTGTTATATAATATAATATATGCAACATTACATAATATCCATATACATTTAATGCATCAATTAATTCCTTGACAGTTGAAGTGGAACGTGTCAGATGGAGGGAACGCTTATCAAATAATCTCGCACTAGCTCCGAACAGGGTATACTAAGGTTTTTCTTTATTAAAAGAGAAACTCACAGATCACAATGAGGAAACAGGAGTGAAGTCCAACATGTAGGGGTGATGAGCAGAAAGAGGCCTAGTGAGCATCCTGCAGGTTTTTGGTATCCAAAGCCACGCCCAACCTGGTCCAGTCTCTCAAAGGCCATTGGCTGAAGGAGGTTCCCCATCAGACAGACTCATGCATTGTATTTTGATTATATTTACCCCACTCCCAAAATTCCTCCCATATGCACACCCCATTCCTTCCGCACCTGACTTCTTTTTAACCCTGAGTCAAATTAGTGTTGCCTATAGTTGAGTGTGTAACCATCTACTAGGGTATAATTAATGTACGAGGGACACACCCTTAAAGAACACTAACTATCCCTCTCCTGGAACCTAGAAATTATCAACAGCTTCATGACCACATCCCCCTACAAGGTTAAGTGAGACAAATTTATAAACATAATATTTTATTTACTGTTTGAATGAATACAATGTATTTTGTTTGTATTCACTCTCCCATTATTCCCTTGACTCCTCCGAGGTCACCTCTCCCAGTTTCTCATCTCACGCCCCTCTTTAAATGATGCACTGAATTCAATTTATGGTTACATTTACTTATGGGTTTGGTACCACCTACTGGAGCATGGTTGACTACCAGGAGCTATATTCTTTTTTTTTTCTTTTTTTTTAAGAATCTTCTTCCTCTAGAAGCTATCAACTGCCAATAGTTCCTTGGTTGGGGGTGGGGTTTGTGAGCCCCTTCTTCATACTGGAATAGTGAAGTGTGTCTTCCTTAGGGGCCTCAAGGTTAATTTCACAGAAATTGCCTCTAAGAATTCTTTTATGTGCTACCAGGTTGCCTGCCTTGCATTTCCCAATTATTCTCTCATTTTTGGGGTAAAAACTGAAAGTCTAAACATGCCTGTTCTCCCCTTGTAGGTGCCGGTATTCTCACGAGTCTTGGACGCAGAACAGATCAATACCGATGCCTCCAACACGGAGGATTCTGTCTCCGCTCCAGCTGCCCTTCTAATACCAGGCTACAGGGAACCTGTAAGCCAGATAAGCCCAACTGTTGTAGGAGTTGACAGTGACTTGAAGAATGAGCATAAAAGCCAAGCGAGGGATATACAATTAGTATTTTAATAAAGGATCTGCTTTCCAAGCTGATTTCCATCAGATTAGAATGAATTTCATGTCTCAGTTTAGAAGAGGTTTTTAAAAGTGTAAGACTGAAGTCTAAAGATTAAAACAGAGGTTGGAAAATCTAGAACAGCTGCTTGGCCCTGAGTAATGATGGTCACAATTTGAGGGATGTCACTTTTATTTGATTTTTATCACCAAACTACATGTACCCGGCACAGGGATGTCACACCGAAATGAACAGTGGACACAGCTATCAGACCTCCTGGGGCCAAACAGGATGAATCTTCCATGGCCACAGCAGTCAGTTAAGTGAGGCTCCATCTGCAGATCCAGGACCAATGTCTCTTCCTGAAGGGTTCAGGGCAGTGGATGGATTAAGTATCTGAGTATCAGAACCTCATTTATAACTGTAAATTGTCCCATGGAAGCTCATCCTCCGGGAATAATGTCTGTATTTCCAGATAAGCACTTTTTAAAAAAGATTCATGCACAACTCTCAAGCCCAGCTTTGTTCCACAAGTCTGCCTTAGGACTGGACCTTCTGTAGTTCAGGTCTTCTCGCTGCCGTGCCTACAGATGCCCCTAGTGGACAAAAGCAGTCATGGCATTCTGTTTTCCCCCAAAGCTCTCTTCCATCTCCTGATGGCACTTATGATGTTGTTGTTTTCTTAATCTACCTCGGAAACCATCTTCCACTCTTGCCAGGTAGAAGATAAATAAAAGGCACTTGTGGCTTTAGTCCCCAGGCCTAAATGAATGACCCATTGTAAAAAGGACTAATCTCTCAGTTCACAATAATATTCATCAATGAGATGATCTTTTCCATAGAGGAAAGCAGAGTAAGGAAGATGCTAGCGTTGGGGAGGACATTGACTGGATTCAAACATACTCAGTAACACAGATGCAGTGGGTTAAATCCATGCCTTTAATCTATTCCTTAACCTGTACACACACACACACACACACACACACACACACACACACACACTTTGGTGTCTTAACTGATGCAAAACCACATGTATGCAAATATATGGTTTTGAACATATGCATATATACGTACATTGGCCTATTAATTAATATAAAACCATATATTTCTGTTCTTGTCTTAGAAACTATCTCCTTATACAAACGTCAGTGAAATTAAAAAGACAAAGAACAAGTCTTTGAGAATACTTATATTGACTAGAAATAAATATCCCTCAACCGAAGAATGGATAAGGAAAATGTGGTACATTTACACAATGGAGTACTACATAGCAGAAAAATAACGATATCTTAAATTTTGCAGGAAAATGGATGGAGCTAGAAAACATCATTTTGAGTGAGGTAATCCAGACACAAAAAGACCATTATCACATGTACTCACTTATAAGCAGTTTCTAAACATAAAGCAAAGAAAACCAGCCTACAAATCACAATCCCAGAGAACTTAGACAATAACGCGGACACTAAGAGAGACTTCATAGATATAATCTACATGGGAAGTAGAAAGTAGAAAAATACAAGATCTCCTGACTAAATTGAGAGCATGGAAAACTTGGGAGAGGGTTGAAGGGAGGAAGGCAGAAGCAGGGAGGGGAGCAGAGAAAAATGTACAGCTCAATAAAAATCAATAAAATAAAAAAATCAATATCATAGCAGATCATTGCAACAGAAATAGTAAACATTTTAACGGGAACAGATGAAGTGTAGCAACCCTTGGGCATACTGAAGAGGATACAGCAGAGGGAAGTGTTCACAAGTAAAAGTGATGATGATTACATCAAATATTTTGGAGAAATAGACCTTGGTGGCAAGAATGGTAACAAGAGTGGCCACAATCCATCCTTGAACACAGGATTGCTGGCAGATGTCCTTGCAAAAGTTCCCTCTGAATCAGGCTGTGGTGGCTTCTGCTCCAGCTGGTCATTATGAGGGTCTAATGTGATGATTACAAGCAGGTTTGTGACTGAGAGCTTTCCCGTAACCTCCTGGTCTCATTTGTAATTTTGGTAGGGTTGACAGAAGGGACGTTAGTTTTGCTCTGACAACTATCACAGTTTTTCAAACACAATTAAAGCAAAGATTGTGACATCTTCCTTTTTATATCACTCCCAAGACTCCATACTTACTACGCAATTCCACAGATGGTCCCTGGGTGAGGTCATTCTGAGTTCTACACTGATCCTCTTTTCCATTTCGTTAGCCACATGCACCTCCCCTTTGGAAGTTATGTGTGCCTTCTGGTTTCTTACAGGCTAGAACCAGTCACCCTCATCACATATCGGTTTCCAGATTTAGTGGTCACAGTTCCCACTGTTGATTCTGAGCTACAACCAAGGAAATTGCTGTGCTCCCTGAGGTGACTTTAGCAACTTTCACAACCCATTTCTCATCAATGGGATAAATACACAGTCCTCTGGATCCTCGTAATATGAGTATGAAGAAGGAGTAGAGAAGCTTGGGTTCATTAGAGAGGCAAATCGGCGTTCATTTTTCATTGGCCTGAGCCTCTTAAATCCTGCCCTCCAAATAAACCAGCTAAAAAATTCGTGTTTTCAGTTTGTTTTTACCTTATCAACTTGTTTCACGCAGTTAAAGCCCTTTCAACTTCCTAAGTTATATTAAATGCAAAATCTGTGCTTCACAGGCCAATCTAGATATATCTGGGCAGGTCTGACATTATGCTTACTTTCATGTGACAGTAGGAAAAATGTCAATGTAATTATGCCCAACAATGTTCTGCTATGCACACAGATTGGTGCCTATTCCAATAGTCACCAGAGAGACTTCATCCAGCAACTGATGGAATCAGATGCAGATCCACAGCCAAATGTTAGGCAGAGCTCAGGAAATCCTACAGAAGAGGAGAAGAAAGGACTGTAGGAACTAGAGGGGTCAAGGACACCACAAGAAAGCTCAGAGAATCAACTAACCTGGGATCAGAGGGGCTCACAGAAGCTCAACAGACAGCCAGGAGTTTGCATGGAACTGACTTTGGTACTGCATATCTGTTATAGCTGTGCAGCTTGGCCATCTCGTGGAACTCCTGACAGTGGAACAGGGGTTGTCTCAGACTCTTTTACTGGCTTTTGGGACCCTACTCATCATACTAGGTGACCTTGTCAAGCTTTAATACAAGGGGAGGTGCTTAATAGTACTACAACCTCATATGCCATGTTTTGTTGATACTCATGGGAGACCCCTTCCTTTTATAAATAGGAATGAAGGAGTGGATTGGTGGTGGGAAAAAATGGGGAGGTGGGGAGAGTGCTTAAGAGAAAGAGGAGAGGAAACTGTGGCCAGAATGTAAAATAAATAAGTAAATTTATTTATAAAAATAAAGAAAGAAAAATGACAATGTGCAAACAGAGATGGCACTTACATTTTCCGGCCACTCAAGAATGATATTAGTTATCACACTATTTGGTCAATGGCTCAGGTGTATTCCTAGCTAGTTCTTATACATTAAAATAACACATTTTTATTAATCTGTGTATCACCACAAGGCTGTGGCTTGCCAGTGAGTTTCTGATGTCTTTCTTCTTCAGCAGCTAAATGGTGTCTGCCTGACTCTGCCTTCTTTCTCCCTGCATACAGTTTAGTTTTTCTGCCTAGCTATATTCTCCCCTGTCATAGGCCAAATCAGCAGCATACAGAGGGAAATCACACATCAAAAATGTATACATCAACCAAGAATACCTCCACACTCTCCTTGTCTCAGGCCTATCTCCAGACCGCAGCTCCTGCACAGGATTTCCTGGATCCGTCCTCCCAGAACCAAGACTGCTCAAACTATTCTCAAGTCCAAGTTTAGTTTGGACATACAGTTGGTGCACTGATCTTGGCTGGAGAGTCTCCTGAGGAATAGGCCAAACCTCACCTTGTATGAACTCCCAGACCTAGCTCCAGTCATACAAATCGTGACAGGCTTTGCCAAGTGATATTCCCTGAACTTAACCATCAACACCATCCCTACACTATCAGGCCTAACTTTGGGAGGCCTGCTTCTATACTGGCCTAGAGTCGGGCTAGACTCTCACATCAGATATACAACAAAGGAAAGAAGTCCACATGCCCAGGTCACAGCATACAAACACGAACAGTATGGAACACCAAGACCCTCCACACCCCCGAGTCCACACCAGTCTATAGGAGCACAAGGCCATAGCAAGGGCTCTAAGGACAATGACCTAGATGAGCCCAAGGACACAGAAATGAAAAGAATGATAGCAAACCTTCTCAGAGAATTCAAGTTTAAAGAAGATGTGAACAATCTCCTCAATGAACTGAAAGAGAACGATACTAAGTGCCTGAGTCATTACCAAGAAAACACAAACATGTGACAGAATGAAATGGTGAGGACAATTCAGGATTTAAAAGCTGAATTGAGTAAAGGTAGCATAATATTGAATGGAACTCAAACTAAAATTGAGACGGAATTGAGAGTTTCAAGAATCCAATTACAAACCATGAGGGTGGGGAACCGTACAAGTAGAATGGATCAAATAAATATAGAGTAAGAGCACATGATACAGTGGAGCAACAGGACCACTTAGATGAAGAGTAGGAAAATGTTTAAACCTTGAATTAAACATACAAACACTGTAGAATGCTGGGAAAAGAGCAAACCTTTGAATTGTAGCATGGATGAAGGAGAAGAATCCCAGGTCAATAGCACAGGCTAGATCTCCAACAAGATGATAGAATCAAATTTCCCCAAATTCAGGAAATACATGCACATACAGAAGCAAATAAAACTACAAACAGACAAGATAAGACAAGAAAACCTCCGTAACATAAGTACGGAAAACAGGAAATATACTAACAAAGAGAGGATATTGAAGCTACAGGAGAAAAACAAGAAAAATCGGAAGTCACATGTATAGCAAAAGCCATTAGAATAACTCCTTATTTCTAGATGGAAACTTTAAATGTGAGAAGAGCACAATGTACTTCAAGCCCTAAAGGATTTTAGATGTCAAATGAGACTACTGTTCCTACCAAAATTATCTGCCATAGTTGAAGGTGACAGAAAAACTTTCCATAGTATA